AAATCACTAATCAAACAAGTGGGCGGATCGCTTTTAGGGGAGGAGCGCTTTTGGGGTCCTGCTCAGCAACCAGCGCACCTTTCGTCGTGAAACGGCCACACCTCGCTCCCTTGGCAGCCAAGTAATTGCTTCATGAGGCTCACTCGCTTTCCCGACGCGCTTCCTATATTATCGTTGTCTTTAAACCCCAAATGCGACCTCCGCTTGAAGCATTGTGAATGGACGGTTGACTCTGATTCCAAATTAATACAATTCAAAGTGGGTGTGCAGATGAGTACGAGCAGTGCATCTATCAATCAACCGTCAGTATCGGTGCACTACAGTGCCTGTTTTTGGCTTGAAATGCTCGAAATGATCCTGCTGTGAGATAGTGGCATGAAAACTTACTAGAAGTCTGCACTCAATTCACTAGTGTGACTTTTTTCCACCTCTTTTTGCCCCTTTGCGTCAAGGCCACGATTTTAATCACTATCGATCGTTGGACCATTGCTCGGAAGATTTCGAATCTAGTTATCGTCTAAATAGCTGCATCGAATTTCGATTTCGGAATTTCGGGCCGATCAGCGTATGCTTCCGACCATTTTTGTCAGACTCCACCCATTGTTGGCAGCTCTAAGCTCGTCAGTGTGATGTCCTATCTTCTCCTTTCTGGACTACGTAAACAAAGGGAGCAAATAGACCAAGGTATAGACAAACGTAGACAAAAACGCAAAATTTGTTTTGGCTGTTGTGAGATTCTGCACTCCGCTTGATCATCTTTGCGACTAATAACTTTGAATTATTCGTTTCCTTTCATGATCGCATTATTTGTCATTCATCGCAAACTTGTTCTCCAGTGCTTAAAGAAGTTGTTCACATCAAATTTTTATGATCTTCGCTTCATTATCGTTTTCTTGTTGAATATATGACTTTTGATAGCAGGCCAAAAAATTTACAGCACGATCAGCGCAGTCTTCTTCTTCTTCTTCTCCCTAGCGTTAGTCCCGCGCAGTCGCAGGGTCCGCTGTTTTTGTCAGCCGTCGCCACTTTGCTCTGTCCA